TTATTTGTCATCTCAAAGGAGCAGCATTGTGGCCCAGTGGTTAAGCGTTGCTCCCTCATAACGCTGAGGCCCTGGCTTCAATTCCTGGGGTGCTATCTGCATGGAGTTTGTGTGTTCTCCCCGTGTTATCCAATGAGTATGCTTTTCTCCAGGTGCCCAGTTTCCTCCCACAGTCCACAAACACACTTGTAGGTTAACTGGGTTCAAGGAAAACTAGCCCTGCTGTGAGTGTTTGTGTGCTCTGTGATGAACAGGCGTCCTGTCCCAGAGCGTATCCTGCCTTGCGCCAGTTGCTTGCGGGACAGTCTCGGGTTTTACTGGCACCCTATATTGGACAAAGCTGTTAGAAGATGGATGGATCCAGTACATAATACATAGTATAGTTTTGTTAACCAAACCAATGACCCAGTATGGTAACTGAAAACTGTGCTTTAGGAGCACTGCTCAGATGAAATGTTACACCAAACTCCTAACTACTTAGTAATTTAAGATCTCCTCGAGCCATTTCTCAAATTAGTAGCAATAACCCAAATATCCTGGCTAAATTCCACTTTGGGCTTGCACAATCTGACCTAGCTAAATTTCCTTTTAATGCAATTGGGGAAATACTTTCTCACTTCTCCAGCTATCTGCTGAGTAGTGTGACTTCTGGCACAGACCATCTGCAGCCCATCAACCAGACAGGTGCTGTTAACTTTAAGGACAGAAACTGAACAGAACACTGAGATCCTTTAGGATGAAAAGTTCTGTATAAATATATAGATGATTATTATTACCACTGTCAAAAACTGAGAGAGTGCGTCCTGCTTGTTGCATTCAAATCACAATGTGAACTGCAAAAAAGGAGGATATTTTCTGAAGTTGGAATGAGCTCCCAGGATTTTCTGAATTGCCATCACCGAGGAGCCTAAACAAATTGCTGGACTTGGCAACAATTGGAAAATGGGAAATTCCATTCCCCTGATTGGGTCATATACTGAATTAGTCATCGCAGACATCAATAGTGGCAGAGTGAGATCACACCTACACATGAATGAACATGTGCTTTTCTTGTGCACTCCAACAAGCACATTCATTACACAAGGCCTTCCAAACCTGGTCTTGAGTTTTCATACCAGCAATACCCTTAATTTTATTCTTAAATGAATTTGCTTGATTAGAACAATTATATTTTAACCTGATCTGAAATTTGCAAGACATACGAAGTTACTTATACATGCTTTATTCAAAGCTTGAAATCTCAAACTCATTGGTACCAGATACAAATTAAAATAAAAAGGGTGTGCTAAGCACATTATTAGTTACAGAAATAAGAAAAAAAAACATGTTTTTGTCCATGTATCCAATAGGCTCCTTTGGAGAGAAAACCAGAGGAGACAGGTTTGGAAAGCAATGGACTAAAATAAATTGTCTGTAAATAAATAATAAAACAGACAAATGTTTTTCATAAAAACATCGAATTACCGAATGCCATACATATGCAGCATTTTTTTAATAGAGGCTTTTTAGATCTAGTTCACACAAACTCCTTCCTGTACCCAGGGAGAACACTTATCTCCTGAGGTTTTATGATGAGGGATACAATAAAGTGAACTTTATATCCACCAAGGGTTGCCAGAACGAAACAGTTTGCACCGCGACATCATAAAGCCACTGTTCTCTTCAGGAAACCCTACCTCTCTTCTGTTTAATCAGACTGGGACATTCAACCAACAAGCTTCCATAGGCTCCAGTAATTCAGCCTCCTTAACAATGCTTAACAACTGCAGGCATTTTTAACGATTCCAAGATAGCGAGAATAGGACAATGCCCAATGACACCTACTTCATCCTCTGATGTGACTTTTGTTACTTTTTTATCAGATCTCACTGTGGAAATCACATGCAAAAAACCTTTTGAGCTGAAACCTTGAAGGACTACACAAGTGCTGGGTAGAGGATCACAAGGAAATCTGGAGCAATAAGAAATGCATCTTGCGCAATCAAGTTCAAGAGTCGACAGCAATGCCAGATAACAATGCTGTGTGTTGTTCTGCACTACCCCTCTTCTACAGTGCACAATTATGCGGTGCCGCTCTTGCAGTGATATCAGTAAAATAATATTATTTATTCCTGCATTTTCAATAACCAGGTATTCTAATACAGGGGCACTGTGAGTCAGAGCTAAACACAGTCTGAAATGTCCCAGATGGCAAGCAAGTCCACTGCAGGACGTGCACTCACACGAATACAGGGTACAATTTGGAGACGCCAATTACCTAGACAGCGTGTTTTTGGACTGTGGAAGAAAAGCGGAGCACCAGACAAAAATGCAGAGTTTAGAACCTGCAGACTCCCCACAGATCATATCATAGGACACAGAAAACCAGGATTCAGAAAGCTAGGAGGCAGCATCATTAACCTCTGCATCACAATGACATAACAGAAATCAATTCAAACCAGTAGCTGTAGAGTCTCTAACAATGAATAAAAGCTGCTTTGTCATTCCTCTCTCCTTTGGGCCAGTATACAATTTCATAAGTCACTTTATCTACATTCCAAGAGCCCTCGTTTTGTAACTCTGTCCTGCGTGAATCACCCCAGCAGACTTCTTCGGAAGGAACAGTGAATCACAAACCAGGGGACACAGTCCAGAGGACAGCAGTAACGATGGGAAGAGCATTTAAAACTCAGAACGGGAGGCACTGCTTGCCCCAAAGGGTGATGGGAGTATGGAACAGATTGGCCATATACAGTACCATTTCTTGTATTCTGAACTTGTCTTTTCGCTGTCCCCAGCTTGCTCTCCATGAGACACACAGACAGAGAGAGAAGCTGGGGGTCAGAGCGCAGTGTCAGCCATTTATACGGCGCCCCTGGGGCAGTTGGGGTTAAGGGCCTTGCTCAGGAGCCCAACAGAGTAGGATTCCTCTGCCGGCCGTGAGATACGAACCGGCAACCTTCCAGCCACAGGTGCAGATCCTTAGCCACAGAGCCACCGCACTGCCCCTAAAACATAGGTCACGTTGCTCCAAATGAGGAATAACCCACTCCCCGAGTTGTGCTCTCACTCAAGGCATTATGGAGCCTACAGCATTTCAAATATGTATGGCTCTACTGGACAAGTGTGCCAGATGAGAATGCCTTCTTATCTGCCTTTAAACAGCCGAGTACAGGAGTCATCACATATAAGAGGCACAAAGCAGCAACTAGGAATTCTAAATTGGGTGGGTATACTGTACAATGACATAAAATACAATAAAAGTTGTGTATAGTTTGTACCTCCTGTAGCAAAAGACCTCTTTTTTCTAAAGATGTATACAGAGCTAGGGGCACAGACCACACCATTAAGAACATAAGAATGGCTACAAATAAGAGGAGACAACAGGTCCTCTATCTGGCCCATCTGTATGTATAGGGAGCTTTTTCAGCCGTTTCTTCGAGGAAAGCAGGGTAACAGCTTCAATGACACATCTGGATAGCTTCATCCATACTGCCACAGCCCTCCCACAATTCCCTTTCTTCTGCTGAACTAATCTGAGTGCCCTTGCCTCACTTTACAATGGTTTCAGGTCAATGAAACTAAGTGATATCTCCTTTTCGGCTTCCATTTAAACCGTGGGGGGAAAGAAATAAAACATCTGTCCAAATTAGCAGTTAGACATTCCTACCTCCAAGAGTTACACAGAACAGGCTTGATTAGCTACTATAAATGGTGACCCCCCAGAGCTCTGATCCTGTAAGAGAAGCAGCTGGACACACCAGAACATTATTCTGCCTTGTCAATGGAGGCCCTGCAGGTATACTAAGAACCAAGCATGAGTTTCACAGAACGCAATGTTGGCTGGTTGGGGAGAGAGGTTACGTATTCGCATGAATTGATGCCTCAATCATGTGTTCGAATTCCTATTCTCATAATTGCTTTTTTTTTTCGCCAGCGAGAAACTTGAAGGCAAGCTCACTGGAACAGAAATAAAGCCATCGAGTGCTTCTTAATACTCAGATGCCCAAGTGCACCACAGCAAGCCTGCTGTACAACAGGGCAATGCGTGTTACTACTTTAGTAATGGCATCTGAACAGGAAAGGAAAACCGGTACCGCAAGCACACAGCAGCACTTCACCTGAAATCTAATCTAGGCTGCCATGTGCGGTTCATGTTCATTTCTTAAGTATCTGTACTTTCAAATATAAAACGGGTATTAGGGTTTCAAAGCTCACAAAATATAGTTACCGTATGTCGTGTCTAAAAAAAACATTACAATGACTGACTGCACATACATTTAGGCCGAACGATTTATGCTGTACGAACAGGTACTGTAGGTCGACAGTCATACAGTACCCTAAACGTACAGTATTACTATCAACGTCCAGCAATATAACGGCATATTAAGGAAATATCTATTTAAACAAACCCAAACCTTAAAAACAACCTAGATAATGATCGCAAATACCTGAATATGCCAAGCATTTAAAGCCGAGTATCCATTAGCACCGTTCTTGTAGTACCACGTTTCGTTCGCTTCAGAGGGACAGAATATGACTACCAGACTACAAATGCCGCACATGGGCTCACCAGACATGATCTAAAACCTCGAAATACCCGACACTGTCATCCACACTCACAGCTTTGCGGTCTATCAGCGTTGTAGCCATCGGCTGTCGTGACATTCAACCTTGACCGAAACCCCTGTCGAACCGTTGCGATTTCAGTCTCCATGAACAAGTCACATCACCCCTAGATCGACACCGTAAGGTTTTTGTTTTAAAATGTAGATAATACACTGATTAAATGTGTAACCGTGCTAGTTCCTATAAAAACGTCTTTTCGCCTTAGCAGTGGCCAAGAGGGTTACTAACTCATTTTTTTTTATTCGTGACATACACACGTACAGTTCAGAATATTCAGTCATCACACTCTCCCCTCATGGCCGGCTGATGATGACAGTAACACTACCAACACACACTTACACACATGCAGTGTTAAGCAGACCAAAAAGGGGGAAAAAAAATCATAAACTTACCAAAGCACCACCTGGATTTATTTTTCTGTGTATCACCTGAAAGTCATGCTGCGACCGAGATCGTCTTCGAAGAAAAGAAGTTTTCCTGCGCTCGGCTCTTTCAGTTGAAGAGAAATGTGGCCGCTCCACGCCAGGCTTTGTAAGAGATGCGTGTGTGTAGTGTTGACAGTCCGCTGGCGGAGCTGTGGTTCGCCTGCCTGCCTACACAAGAGGAAGTGAGCGGCAGGATATGACGTCACTGACAAGCTCGGAAGGAGAGGAGTAGTACCGTGCTCCTATTCTGCGCGAGCTGTGGCGTGTTTGTGCGTTCTGTCTTGTTATACTGGAATGAGATTTTTTTCTTATTGTAAAAATCCTGTATGTATATTTAAATTAATATACATTTCTGTTCGGTGAAGCTCATCCTACACACACGTTAGCAGGTTGATTTTGCCAACGTGGAACTCGTTATTGCTGAGAGGTTGCTTGTACTGTCTGTGGAAGAGAAATGTCGCAACTATGGTTCGATAACGGGCTTCTTTAATTAAGAACTGCCTTTATATTAAAGAAATAAGTTGTACGAATACACTTGAAAACGGAGTTTCTTTACCCGTCAGACATACACGGTTGGGAGGTCTGATTATTCCCGTCCTTTTATGGAAGAAACTGTATGCAGCAAGCAACGTATAACGGTCTCTTTTACTCAAAACCTCGCCAAGTCAGTCAGGACTTTTCCACGTGGAAAAGTCCTGACTGACTCGGCGAGGTTTTGAGTAAAAGAGACCGTTCAAATAATTAATTCAAATATTCATCGTCTCATCAAAAAATAGAACATGTAATGTATATTAAATACAGAACGTTAGGTGAAAGCAGCACTATGCAGGTTGTCGGTGTTAATGTAATTGCAGGACTGAAAAACTAACTTGCAAGGACATATGCGATTTTTTCTTCATTGGACACGTTACCTTTTGAATTGCTCTTCTCAATGCAGTTTTGTCCGGTGTGGACATTAAATGCCGTCCACTGAAAACGAAGCAGGGTAAGGAGAACGTCATGTCCGCTGTCACTGCACAGCAAGACCATGCCGTACCCATTGGCTAATTCTTCTTGGCAGAGACCTTTAAATAACTGAAGAGCCCCAGTTCAGCAAGTTTAATAAGTAGCCTTAAAATCATCAGTTTTTAAAGGCCTGGGACAATTTATCTGCATTCAGTTAAGTGATTTAAGAGTTTATCCATCCATTTTCTAACTTGCAACGTGGGCAAGTTAGAAAACACCCTGGACATCGTAGGGTGAGATTCATGGCAAGAGACTATAATGTTTTATACAAGGTGTAGAATATACTGTAGTTATCTTTCCTTGTTTTCTGTAAGGAGCAGCAGTATCTTTTATAATCTTGGAAACCAGGGCACTACACCATTTCTCAAATGGAATCAGACTACAGTCATTGACCAACTATGATTTGAGATTCATCAGTTGTGAACACATATCTTGTCTGGCTTTTCTCTCAATTCATATTTGAATGTAAGAGTGGACTGGTGTCAGGGCCCTCCTGATAAAGGGCTCTCCTTTTTTAGTTCCGAAAAGACATTTCTCTGTTTTACACAGTCAGCAGGATTGTGGTGAATGTGGACTCACGATGGGCACCATGAAAAATGAACATTTTTAGAAATGGATCACAACCAACCACGGAAATACAGTTGGGCAAGAGAGTTTCCTTCACATTGTCCTTCTAATCTACACATCGTGCAAGTACAGAGTAAAGGAAGTTCATTAACTGTACATCAGTTAAAACAAGAATATGACTGACAAGCAGCTAAGCTCAAAGGTCAGTCATGAACAGTAATACTGTTTTAAAAGAGATTTATTGATGGAAAGGGTTCTGTGCTGCCAAATCTACATCAGTACTGTACTTCTCCGATTTGGAGACGTATATGGTAGGCTTGATAACCACCTTTACTGGTTTCATAGAGGAAATAAACCTGTGACCCTCTTTTACAATAGGTTAGGAGCTTGCTGCGATAGTGACGGTTATATGCAATATCCATTGTCTAGAATGTATTTTTTTTATGCGGTGCAAGACAAAAGAATATAAAAACAGTTTTGTGAATTCATAAGGCAATTCATCATCTTGACAAAAAAAGGAAAATTGTCATAGTTAACTCTAAAATGTGACAAATACCGGACCAATGCAGCTCAAATGTGTTAATAGTAACACAGCAAACAACATTTTAATTAATCCCATGGATTCCTAATACAATATATAATGCCAAACACCCATTATTTAAAGTGGATAATGTAAGAGTCACTTTAGAAAGGGTTAATGCGCACATTTAAATATTTAGCATAATTTGAGATTTGGTTCAAAAAACAAAATTCACCTGGAAATATATATCTGACCAGTAGGCTGCTGTTGAATCCAAATAGTTAACTGGTAAATGAACAACCGAAAGTTAAAGGGAGATGGACAGGACCTTGCGAGGGAAAACATTTTATTGTTTCTTAAAAACAATAGATCGCAGTCTAAAGGCCAATCTCCCATACAAGTACGGTCCACTTGCTTTTAACACTATAAATCAAGGAGGAAAACAACTGATGTTCTTTGCAGAGTTGCAGAGTGAGGCTCACTTTTAAAGTGCTCTCAAACACCAATCTGATCTACATCCAACAGAAGGACAAAGACTTTTTTTCAAGGTTAAGTTTATCTTTATTGTGAATTTAGACCACAGAAAAACAGCACTTTACAAAAAATGCTGCAATCAATTTTTTGTACCCAAACATCCAATCCACAAGTTAATACTAAAATGTCATATTCAAATCTTGTACTGATCTTGTGATCGCCATTTCACAAATGGTTTTTATCCCACAGCAATGATATATGTTTCCAACAAATATGCTAGGATTCCCTGAATCATTTATCAGCTGACAGTCAGGACATTTACATAAACATCTTTATGGGCAGCAAGGAAGAACTTTACATAGTTCATAACAGGGCGGTTGACACATCTTGGTGTACTCAATGGTAGGAAAGCGGTTCTTCGATTTCAGATATCATTACTTAAATATTGCATTCTAAGTAAGCTACAACTGAAAACACTGGAAAACAGGCGAGGTGGTTTGTTCTGCTTTGGGGGGTTTATGTTCTAAATCTCTTTCACAGATACCAGCAACATAATGAACAATAAAAATCAATACAGTGATATTCAGAGGCAATCTACTTTACCTATTCTGTTCAGGCTCAATTTCCTGCATTGCTGTAGGAGCAATCTACAGTACTACCCTCTACCTTAAAGAAATTTAATATTTGGCTGTTTATTAATTTACCCTTATCAAAGCTGCTTCTTAAAAGAAGAGCAGATATTTTAGCAACCAAACAAAGCTTTATTAAATCAAACTATTACTGGCAAGGAAAAACAATGAACTTCGGGTAGCAAGTGTCTGTTGCCACTAGCATAACTAGCTAGAAAATGGACAGTTTCTGTATTTACCACATGAGCGTAAGAGATTGTAAAATGTCTCCAACTGGATTCATCATCTATTTTTTCTTTTGTTAAGCTTTTCAGTCCAGGGGAATTTTTGAAAAAAAAATACATATAAAGACTCATATTATCAGCCATACAAATAATTTACACACATATAATGTACACACATCTGAGTACATCCCACAATACTTGTACTGAAATTCAAAGATTACAGAGGAAAAACCTTGAGGGAATACTCATATAATGGATTTAAACAAAACTTCTCAAATAATAAGAGAATAGTGATCATGATGTTCTTATAAAATAAAATGAAAAAAAATCACTGGACTGCAACTGGATTCTAGAATGCCGGCTAGATGCTACCCCTACCACCACATGTAAAAACAGGAAGTACACTTTCCTCTTCCTTCATACCAGTGGGAGTGTTCTTTATTTGAATGTGTCATTAACAGTCATGTGTTAGTTGGTCATTGCTTGCCTCTCTTTCCCATAGTCAGCCAAAAGGGTAGGGGCTCCCTCATCGGCCATTGTGATGTCACTGTCGTAGAACCAGCAGTCCGATTCAGATTGGCTGGCAGGCATTGAAATGGGGAGAGCTGTCCAGTCCTGGAGTGGGAAGGCTTCTGTGTTTTTCTGTTGCTTATCGGCTTTGCTCCACTGCCTCTTCGTATCTTCAAAGTCCCACTGTGGAAAATAAAACATGAATTCTGTAAATGAAAATGCAAACATTCACTACCACGTTCTTATGTAAACTGTGCATCTATTCGTGTTTGTTTTAGGAAAAGTGGATTGATTACTGAACGCATTTTTCTCAGATGTGAATGTGACAGTTACTGTATGCCATGGATGTTCAAATTGCAAGATTTGAGCCCAACTGATGTGTGGGTATGTATGTGGCATTTGGGATTCAGATATCAGTATACAGACACATGTTCTTCAGGCCCAGAAGGAGAATAGGACACAAAACAGCTTCTGTAACCTGGTGCAAAACGTGAGTCATAGATTTGCAGTTTGCATTGTTTCCAACGGTGACCATACAACATGCCCATTGATGACAAATATTTATCAGCATAATGTAATCACTGCTCAATGCACTTTCAGCTCATCTGCTAAAAGATGTGTCACTTCCCTGATAGCTCTGTTGCAGTTAGGATTATTTTTAATGCTCAGCAAAGTTGTCTAAAAAAAGCCTACTGTATTTTTTCTTCAAGCAGCAGGAACAAGGGAAAATAATGTCAGGTATATCTTGTGTAAGCACTGAGAAGGTTTTTGAGAATGCACCATGAACATTTTTATGCAAAAAAAGAACTTGCTCGGTATAAAAAGAGCTGTCGCTGATTTGCAAGTGTTATCTCCTTTTAAATTGCAAATGTTCCTAAAACTGAATATGTTACCAAATCATTGAAGACGTAGTAATAATCTTACAATTTTGTGCCACCCAAGTAAAAAAGTAAAATGGAATTAAGGTGTTTGAACATTTCTGAGGTCAAAAGAGAAACAATGTGCACCCCTGAACAAACAAAAATGTCATTGCAACAGCCTAGACAGGACATTCCTGAGACTACTCTTTTCTATCCCTGTTCGGGAGCAGCTTTCATCTGTTTTTTCCCCTCTTATTGCACTACATCCTTCAAAACCAGCAGCGGGTTTTGTGAGGGCTGGTCAATTCTATTATTTCAGTGTGAAGCCAACCAAGTTCAGATGAGCAGGTTGAACTGCTCAGTCCCACAACTGAAGTTAAAATGATGGCAATACAGTGACCTGTATAATGATAAATGTGTTTGTGTGTTTAAGGTTAATTAAAATTACAAGTATTTTAAAATGCATTTATTCCAAATAGAATTTTTTCATAACCTCAATTTTTTATGTCAAACATATACAGCATGTACAGTATATACTGATAGCAAACCCCTGACACTGAAGTGCTTCATAAAGCATCAGTTGTTGTATTATGCTACAGCCCCACCTACTGGAATAGAGCAGATCAGGTCTGACTCTCATTGCTGTTTCCACAGTTGTTCCTTCTTGTTTCCCTGAAGACATGAAGAGGGTAAAAACTCCATGTCAAACTCCATTTAATATTCTTAATTCAGTTGTTTTATCAATTTCAGGACCTAAGGACTTTTAGGACAGCACTAGAGAGAACATATTTCAAATAAATCTGCATGTATTGTGATAGCTGGAGAGAAAAATGTTGGTCCCAGCAGCAAACAGACTGGCCATTCATGGGTCCTGCTGTTCCTGCTGGTGGATGGATGTAATTTTAAGAATTACACATAAAAGACATTACAACAGTGTCCGAGATTCCTGTCTAGTGCAACTCATTACAGGGAAAAGCTAGTTATAATCATTACTCATTCTGTTGAGTTAGCTCATCTGATCCCTCAGAACTAAACTCTGCTCCAATATTACGTCATAAACAGAGTGAATAATGTTCTTGTACAACATGTATACAAACAAGCTAGTGTTGTTTACATCAGGATAAACCTTTTGTCATCACACCATCTTAATAAGGTTTGCGGATGATTTTGGGAGCGGAACATGGGAGTTAAATGAACACAGGTGGCACAGTGGTGCTGCCCTGCCAGGCAGACTGAGGACACACCGCGGGGTTCTGACCTCAAGGCTTGAGCTCATGGATGTGTCCGTGGAGCTGTCCGAGGAGCATGTGACATCAGCGCAGATGACTTTCAGAGGAGGGGGAGCTGGGGGATTGGTGTCACAGGAGCTCTCTGCCGAGAGAGTTTCTGTTGGGTTCTCTATGGAGAGGGGTAGGCCTTTGAAATTCACCTAAAAGCAAACACAGACAAGGCTTTACTGTACACTGTGACAACAGTGACTTTCAGAATTTCTTTGTACCAATTTTATTTTTGGAAAGTTCATACCAGCACAGGGGAGAGGAAGACAAAATAGAAACAGCCTCTGAAACATGCACTATAAGACCACTGATGTCATTCCATACTGCAAAACCCACAAGGCACACAGTGGAGATCAGCTGTCAAATGAAAGACTGACACAGCTCTCCCAGAGAACAATGTAAGCAGTCACCCAATTCACAGACAATTGCTGCTGTTGTGTGGAAAATCAAAGAAAACCTGTCTGACCTTAAAACCACCTCAGCATCTCTTCAGTCAATCAGTGAATACTGGTCAGTGTGGTAATAGCTCAATACCATCTGTAACAGTGGAGCCTTTCACAAAACCACTAGGAACTTTACAATTGAGGAAAACATTACCGTGGATACAAAACAATACAGCGGTAACCAAGGGATACCTCTTGCACAGGTTTTATGTTCACATCCATATACCGTCCTATTTCAGCCATCTTATGGTGGGTTCGGTTAGTAGGACGAATTTTGAGAGGAACCCAGTCGGAATGCTACAAAGAAACATATGAAAAAACAAATGAACTTGAGATAATGTCAAGGTTTATCATAATGTTCAATGTATGTGAATATTCACTGTAATGTTTTATTTCTACACTTACCTTACTGATTCCATTACTATTAAATATAATATAAAAATAACAAATGGAGAGACTTTAGATTCTGAAGAAGTACCTACAGCATGCAAACATGATACTGTGCCCCGGGAAGCACAAACTTTCTGATTACTGGGAGAACAATTCAGTAACTTTTTCCTTTTACCAACAAGGGTGTGTGGAGTCGTGTCTTTGTTGCTACTGCATCACGGTTTTACAGAGGAGTATGTCAAGATTTTATTTCTTCATTTTTTATTGGCCATTATTAACTCTTAATGTGTTAGATACAATCAGCTTTGGAGAAAGAAAGCTCTACATAAATCATAGAGGCACAGGTTCAAATAAAGAAATCAGGTCAAACCTAATCCAGCTAATCGAAGAAAATTGTGAGAATGGTTATTGAGGCTTACATACAGTTTTGTTCCTGCGTGGTCTCTCTTTAGTGCTGTAGGTCAGGTGTGAAGCAGGGTACCCCAGAAGTGTTTCTGTTTCAGGTGAGTCCAAGTGCTGGGGTTGCAGGGTCAGCTTGGCCTCTTTGTGCTTTTTAAGGCAGGATATCAGGATAATCTGGCAAGAGTTAAGGGCCTTGATAAATGCTGACAAATCCTCAAAAGTATAATGTTGGACCAGGGTTCGGAGTCTTACTACATCATGTAAACAGAAGTCCAAGAGGTCACTAGTACAGGGTTAAGAGGAAAGGAGTGCTTAAAAAATACCCGTGCTGCAATTAGAAGTACTAAGAACTGCCCTATGACTTTCAGTCTGGCAACATCACAAACATGTACAGTATAAACCCAAAATGAAATATGTTAAAGCCTGGAAGATGAACAAGTGTTTCAGACACTTTCACTTTCATTTCATTTGCTTTTGTAATCAAAAGGCGGATTTTCATGTAGTTTGTCCTTTTTTTAGAAAAGAAATATCCACAAGGAAACTTTAGTAAAAATAACCATGGAGGATACAACGCTGTCAAAGACCGCAGAGCCCACAGAAGTCAGTAACCACGGCAATGCTTTAAGGGCAGACTTCAGCTGCATATCATGAAACACAATGGCTAGAGCATAGGAGACACTGGCCAAGATGCACACGCCTCTAGTAGATATCAGTACTGTGGAAGTCATCTTCCCTCGGTACTGGAAGAGAGTACAGCAGGTAAATATATTCAAAAACAACAGAAACAAACTTTGCTCTCAAGACATGAAGAAGATTTCTACCAGAAAGGAGAAAACTGGAAATGCTTGTATTGAAATAAAAAAAAATAATAATTCTGGTGATTATACACTAAATTGGAAAAAAAATTAAAACATAGTAACTGACATATCAGCATATCATTTACCTGTGCTACAAGTGTAAAATGGTGCAATACATTTTATTTCTGATCACAGAACTACAATTATGTATTCAACAATAAACTGTTGAATTTGAAAGTGGATACAGATATTTATGTGGCTTAGAAGCACTTAAGTGAATAAAGTTACCTTAACAATTAACAACGCAGCCTATTTTCTTCAGCCTGTAAGATCTGATAACACTGTAAATAATTATATTTTAAAACGAAACAAAAAAAATCAATTTGGAAAGCAAAAAAGCATCTTAGTCTGTTTTGGATTGTAGAATGGGGGTCACAGTTCTGCATTATATGTGTGGAAAGTAAAGGTGTTTTAAGAAGTACTACTTCCTCTCTGGATTTTTACACAGACTACATAAAATGTTTCATCAGTATAATATCACAAATTACTGCAAACAATCATATTAAAAAATACAAGGGCACTCACTGCTCTGGAAATATGAGGGAACTTGGATGACAAGCAGATGATAAAAGACATGAGTCCTAGAGCATACCCTAGGATTTCAGTGTTATCCTGTGAAGGGGAAGAAAGTAAATCTTTGTCAAACCATTTAATGTTAAAAGGTTCAGAAAATACTAAACAAAAAGGTATGAATATGGCACAAATTGCATTATGTACATTCTGGTACATTAACTCTTTGTATAATAAAGCAGAGTACAGAAATTTGCTCTTCTGGAGCTGACAGCTCTACAAGTAGTGCCAGACTACATTACAGAGCGCAGTGCTCCAACACAGTAAATGTTTTCTCCTTCACACCATCCATCATGAACTCTCTGTCAGTTTCAGCTGGAGAGAAGTCCCGAGTCTTTTTTCTAATCTTAGTTTTTTCTTTCTGCTTTACTCCTCAATTGCTTTCTTTCAAACTGCTTTATTCTTAGAACTGTCCCTTTTCTGATGATCAGAACCATTTGTAAGCTAACCTTTTTTTATCAGCTGTCTTTGAAACGTTTGTATGACACGCGTGTCAATTGGAGCACTTGAAAACACTTTCAGCTGAGGCCTGTATGTGCCCTACATTAAAAAAGTGTAATATTTGAGTTTACTTTCTTTGTAAGGCTGCTACGGTAATCTACTGAACTCCACTTTAATACTGTACATTTGTAAAGGTTTTTTAGGTGATACTCACCAAAAGAGCTGTATTAAACACATGCAGTGATCAGTGCTTTTCATATGACAAAGCATTCATTCTCATTCAGAATTGTGAAAATTGTTAACCTGCTGATTTTAACATGGCCTTAGCTGAATACTTCATTATTGTTCAGGAAATGAAGATGTTATGACTGACCTGGAGAAGGGTGTTGAGGAGGTGACGTCCTGTGTGAACTTCATCAGTATATTGAGGGTGCTGAGAGCACCAGGTGACATACCCTGCCCCCACTGCCAGGGGTATTGACACAGCGAAGAATTTCTGCCTCCTCCTCCTCCTCATGGGCCTTATCTTTCTGCCTGTGTTAAAAAAGACCCGACATGCTTAACGTCAAATATAACAACTCAGAAAAAAACGAAATAATTAACTTCTTCATCCCAGTGGAATTTTCCCTTGCAAACTTCTTTGATTTTTTTTCTGACAGTTGAATATTGTTCTCTAAAATGACAACAACACATGCCATGCCTTTTTATAAAGGAGATAGGAAAACAGAATTGCCAGCAGAGGCTCAGAGAAAGAATGAAACAAGGGGCTTCGGTCAATGAGCAGAACAAACAGCGTTAACAGAGGATCTTTTGTGTGCTACAGATGGTGCCACTCCCCAGTACAGAAGTATCAACACTACTGAGCCCAGAGCAGCAGCCATTTTAGAGAGGACAGGGGGAATTCTGGTGTAGGAAGTGGCAAGTCGGGGGCGTTTGGGTAATTAGGTTGAAAAAAATAAAACCCTTTTAATTGCATTTTTCCTAAATCGTTTTTAAAGATGCGTTACCAGACCGATTCTGCCCTCTCCTCTTTAGGCTTTTTTTTGTCCACGCTCAAACAGTGGAGCACCTGGGTGGGTGATGATATACAGTATTGCAAAATGGAATCCGCTTTTCTTTGGCCCAAACACTGATATGCAAACCGAGACATACATCACTAATTGAAAAAGTGGCCACTGTACAATGAGGTGATACAGCTCTCTTACCACATACACCTAAGGCCAGAAATTCTGAAAAACACACAATCCTACTATTGAAGGTAAGACTGATGTGAAACCTGTACGGTTAAACTCAAGGCAGCTTGAAGACTCTGCCTGCACAAGTTTCAACCTTTCTACCTGTAATCAGTAAAGTAACATGTTTTAATCATTACATTGTATAATCTACCAGAAAGTATTTCTGAGATAGGCAATATTTCATTTCAAAAACAGGATTCCATTTATGCAGATGGAATAGTTTAGAACACCCATTGCAAAACACAGTATAGTCAATTCTTTCTGGGGTTGTAATAAACTTTGTTCTCTGACAAAATCTCTCAGTGTAGACCTGAGCCAGATATTAACCGTGTCTGCATACAACTCATCTAATCGAGAACAGTACAACAGATACCAGTGCTTACACAACGTTTTGCCAGTGTACACATACTAGATTTTGACTGCCAGCTCCATGGACACACAGGGAAGATGACAAGAATGAAATGAAAAACATCCAGAACAGCCATGTAGACTCCCATGAAGATCTGGAAGTGAGACAAAGAGATATACAATTAAAAAAATGAGAGGCAGGTAACCCAGGGCAGAAAGATTTATTGTTTTCAATCTATTTAGCTCATGCATTTATCCAAAACAAATTACCTGTGGACCTATTTATACAGCAGGACTTTATGCTGAAGTGATCTGATGAAATACACTGAACTCTAGGAAGGACTTGAATCCTTAGCCATTTGGTTATAAGCCCAGAGATCTAGACACTGCTAGTTCTATCTAATAGAATCCACCGTCATAGAGCCTATCTGCCGGGACAATCGCCCATACTTTTTGTTCTTTGGAAAAATGTAATACAAGCTTTCCTGCAAGCTACAGAGGAATTTTTAGAAGTATATTGACCATGTGATATTTCCTTTTTTTTTCCTTACACTTATATAGTGCTTTTCTGGACACTCTTTCCTGCAAGCTACAGAGGAATTTTTAGAAGTATATTGACCATGTGATATTTCCTTTTTTTTTCCTTACACTTATATAGTGCTTTTCTGGACACTCCACTCAAAGCGTTTTACAGGTAATGGGGACTCCCCTCCACCACCACCAATGTGCAGCCCCCACCTGGATGATGCGACAGCAGCCATAGTGCGCCAGAACACTCACCACACATCAGCTATCAGTGGGGAGGAGAGCAGAGTAATGAAGCCAATTCATAGATGGGGATTATTAGGAGGCCATGATTGGTAAGGGCCAACGGGAAATTTGGCCAGGACGCCAGGGTTACACCCCTTCTCTTTTTGAGAAATGCCCTGGGATTTTTAATGACCACAGAGAGTCAGGACCTCGGTTTTACATCTCCTCCGAAGGACGGATATTATAAAATATTATTTTTGTCACTCATAATATTTCCAAATGTTGCTTTTTGCGATGGCAGCCATAGTGCGCCAGAATGCTCACCAGCTATCAGTGGGGAGGAGGACAAGACTGATGAAGCCAATTAAGAGATTGGAGATTATTAGGAGGCCATGACTGGTAAAGGCCAATGTGAAATTTGGCCAGGATATTGGAGTAACTCCCTGGGAATTTTAATGACCACAGAGAGTCAGGACCTTTGTTTTACACCTCACCCAAAGGACGGCGCCTTTTTACAGTATAATGTCCCCGTCGCTATACTGGGGCATTAGGACCCACACAGACTGCAGGGTGAGCGCCCCCTGCTGGCCCCACTAACACCTCTTCCAGCAGCAACCTTAGTTTTTCCCAAGGAGGTGTCTCATCCAGGTACTGACCAGGCTCACACTTGCTGAGCTTCATACAGGATTTCTTTGCAAGATATACCGATGATTTTTCCACTTCAATCTCTCTATACAGGACAATAAAGCACTCGAACGGACTGGCTTCTGCCTTCAGTACCTGTAGGGTCAGCTGGTGGGACAGGAAAGCTCCAAGCGCAGCGCTCATGTTACCAAGGAAACAGTAGAATGCACAGAAGGCGGTGTCGCCGGACTTCCGGTCTTTCCTTCTACACTGAAAACACAGCAGCCTGCGACGAGAAAACACAGATGACCACATAGATTTCTACACACAGGCTATGCATGCCATGTCAGTTTGTACCTGACAATGATTGTGCTCGATGTTTTGTCTCCTTAATCTATTTTGTATAAACAAAACTTGGCATACAGCACGTAAAGAGAGACTGACACCGTATCACATCAGCCTATTAAGAAACTTTTCCAGTAGGGACCACCAGCATGGCTCTGTATTTTACTCAGTTCGGACTATGCATCTGTTCTATTGATCCTGTCAGTGTTTTCTTCACATAGCACTTTGGAAAAAAAATAAATATAGGGTGGAGAAACAGTGTATAAGTAAAAGAAAAATGTTACCAACAAAACTTTAGGAGCTGTTCTATCCACTAGAAATACAGATCTGTATCTAAGAAAATTTCTAATAATACACTTTATTTTAACGGCGCCTTTAAAGCTGGCTTCTCGAAGCACTTTACAGAATGACAACAACAAAAAGAATACGGTAGGAGCAAAGGGGTTTGTAACTTGAAACACTTCATTAGCCAATGGAACTGATCCTGTAGCTCAGACTTTCAGGTTGTCACTGTTTCTCAGTGCACCCAGCATGGTTACTGTGGAGCCCGAGCCTATCGGTAAACATGCCATTCATAAAGGTAAAAACGAAATACAAGGGTTTAGGAGTTAAGAAAGCTTTATTTGATTAAAATGTTTGAAATTTAAGTTCTTTATTCTGTGTAAATCCAAAATGTAAACTAACACCCAACAACTTGGCGTGTTATCATATTCATTAAATAATTAAACATACAAATTGATGCTTCTTAAATGTGCATGTAGAAACAGACTAGTAACTAATTTACGCAGCGATCAAAGACAATGTTGTTATCTACTGTGATATTTGAATAACGGTAGAAAAAACAAAGGCAGAAATATTTGGCAAACTATAACTTCATAACATTTGTTTAGACACCAAACTTAATTTTTACGTTGCCAAGCAAACCATAGTCAGTGGTTATATTTTCTGAGCACACGTAAATCGTGCCAACCTTTTTTTCCTCTTTTAAAATGTTTAAAAACAGTACTATAAGAACAGTAAATAAGGAAATAATACGGAAAGTTTGATACTTACAAACAATGCGCGATTACCCATAGTAACGCCGAGGAAGAACAAAGCCAAAATGAAATACAAACATTCTTGTTTGCAAAGCATGTGGTTAAATAATGGGACCGCCACCAGGAACCCATCCAATCTGAGAAGTATCCTTGAGTTCCATTGAGCTGTGCATCAGGGATAGTTCGCAGGCTCCTCATCCTTCATGGTTTGAACTCAGCAGCTGACTATAAGACGGGTTTAGATTAAAGTGCCGAATTTTGATATAAAACGTTTCTTTAAAACCTGGAAGCATTCCATGTCCATGAGACAAAATAGTGATTTACTTTGTTGTTAGATACGTTAATGAATCCTCCGTTCTTTGATGTAGCACGTTTCACTTTCCTTGAGCTAAAAAACCCTCATAGCGAGAAACAAGAAACGTCCGGGTGCAGTTTCAAAGTTATCTCTAATAAATACTTCCTGAACGGAAGCACATATATACCACATTAAAAAGAAGTGAACTGCTCAATAATAATAATAATAATAATAATAATAATAATAATAATAATACGTGTTTTTACGGTAGTTAGATTTAAGTTGTGGGCTCCCCTTGCAGTGCACTGCTTCCTTCAACTTCGAGTTCACAGAGGTTATCCAATCACGATGGCGATTTTTTGGGAATGTTCCTGCAAGGCACAGCACCGCCCTTGGCTAAGCACTATCGCCAACCAGCTCACATTCCTCTGGTCTGACCGTGAAACAGGTGGAGGGTTCGGGATAAAGAATGCAGGATGAAATACCGGGATCTGACAATCTTCGTTACTGCTTTTTAACCTGTGCTTTACATACAGTCTACACCATAATTATTCATTGTGCTTTTGTTATAGTCAGCTATTAATTATAAAGACCATTCGCACACAGACAATTGTATTATTTTGCGTAATACATGTATTTTTACATACCAGAAATATCGCTTTTTTGGTTTACACACACTTAATCGTGGAAGGAGATTGTTTTCAGTCCTTAGATTATGTGAAACAAGTGGAAACGTGTCTTTTTTATAGACTAATCCCCAATTATAGCTGGACATTACCTACAGTACAATCTTTTTGGATTCCACATCTACAGTGCTGACAATACATAATTTTTATTGTGGGTTCATGTAATTATTTTTATAGCATTATAACACGAATCTCGGTCGCCTGTAAAAGCACATTCTTTAACACCCAGAAACATTTTATTTTAAATGGAATGAAAACTTTTGTTCCATTTTTCATTTGAAAGGATGGCATAAATGTTGGTAGCGACTAACCTATGTGTACAGTACATATCCATTTGGAAGAAAGAGCTTTCTTACTTTAAATACTTCTTTCAAATTAAAGACAAAAAGGAATGCAGTATTGCATAAAAAAAGCTTTTTAATGTAATACTCTCAACATTACGCTGTAGTCAAGAAGAACAGGTTATTCACAGCCTACAAAATCCTGGCTAATTAAACAAGGGTCCTTCTGGTGTAACAATGTCATCATTGTTAAATGGTCCACAGTGACCAACTACAGAACTATTCATTACCTGCTTCAAAAATACAGACTCATTGTAACATATTCCAACATATCCAAGTCCTATGGTTAAAGGAGAAATACACCAACGGGGCTGAAATCTGATCACCTGTGCATCCCATGCACTTTCAGAAACCTGCACTTTCCTGTGAAATCCAATATTAAGCTTCTTAAGTTTCTTTTCACAGACAAACTCCTATATAGCTGTGTAGTTACTGGTTTATGTCCATGGGTTTATTCCATGAGTGCTATTTGCACTGTTACATATGCAAGAAGCAATAAGGCATATAAAATACATCATGATTCACTCTTTATACTAAGCCATCTCCTTCATATGACCTTTTGGTGTACTGCCAAAATAAAAGGTCATTAATTCCACAGGTGGCTAAGCATCTAACATATTTTCACCAACAATGCATTTACAGTTGCTTATAGTCCCACTCTTGTCAAGAAGGTCATTTAGAAGCAACCCCTGCTTGATTCAACATTCACCTCATTTATTTTAATTAAATGTATTTTTCTGAACCAAACTAAGAAAATCTAAAAATCCTCTATACAGTAGCCAAATTTGAGACATTTTTGCTAAAGTTATTTACCTGCCTCAAGTATCTCTTACTTCTCCTTTACAATGTCCTGTAGCTTATCATGGTACAGTAGTTTGCAGTTCTAGTAATTTTGGGCCGACTGTTACTGCACTTGCCCACATACTCTTTTAAAACTCTGGGAAACTATATTACAAAACCCTAAGAAATCTCCTGATATATATAAAATAAATGTTAAATGAATCACGATGGAACTGCTTGTTTGTTCTTGAGTTTTTCCACGCTCGTGTGTCCTTGCTTCATTTTGATTTTCAGCTTTGAGAGCAACACAGAGAAACTTTTAATTAAAAGTGAAACAGCAGAATGTAGGTCAAGGGAATTTCTCAACTGGTTCACATGGGATGGTAAAACATTTCATTTTTTAAAATTAAGTTCCTCTTTGAAAGCAAGACAAACATGGGTCTCTCCCAGCCTGATTCTGAAAAAGCTAATGTATACTTTTGCCTTTCCCATGTTGGATCTTGATAATGAACTGTTAGCGGGTGTACTCAAACATATTCTTAACAAGCTGCTATATCTTCAGAACTCGGGTGCTGAAATTTAACTAAAAAACTCAAGTGCAGGATCACTTATCTCCTTTTTCAGCTTCCTTGACTGGCTCACTGTGGATGTTATTTAAAAAAAAATAAATACTGCTGCTCACCTTTAAGGATTTGGTTCCCGACTACCATCTATGAGCTGTTTTCTCTGTTCTCTGAGGCTGTAAAATGCTTTCTTAGCCCAGAGTAGATCCTGCCAGTCAATCTACACTTTCAAGTCCTGTGTTAAAAGTCACCATAGTTTAATTGTTAAAGTTTACTCTATTAATTTATATTCAGAACTCCAGATACAAACATTCCTTTGTTCCACTATCCATTAAAGCTGTCAACGCAAACATCAAGGATAAACACAATTTTGACTCTTACAACCTACTTGAGTGCTATGTTTTGTGATGTGTTATAAATGTTACATGTTGTTATGTGTTATACTGTACATGTGAAATTGAGTGATGTGGAATGTTCTTCTTATTTTTTGTAATATAATGTTTTTTTCTTTTTGTTTGCATTCTATTTAAATGTACAGGAGTGCTGGGTGCCCATAAAAAAATTCCCTCAGGGGACAATAAAATCTTATCTTATCATTTGTGCATATGTGCCTCTGTTTTTTTTTGCTTTTTTTTTTAATGCAGTGCCTTGAGATATTATGTCACACAAGGTGTTATAAAGTGATCTAAAAATGACCTTTTAAAACAAAATTGAAGTAACCGAATTTTGCATTAGATCGAACAACACAGAATGTCTCTTTTTTTATCAGTAGTTCAGTTTGTACCTTGTGTAGCTATAAGTTGTATTTGTAAACTTTATTCTGTGCAATAAGCAAAGCACTGAAGATAATGTTTTAAAAATGTTGCCTTTAGGCACATAAATAATAAAGTGACATGCAGTCATTTTAACCTACATGGAGATAATTAAACACAAGATCATATTGTACTGGATTCTTTTAACATTGTTTAAAAATTCATAAACTGGTCATGTTTATATTCAAAGTTGTGCACAAAATCTCCACTAGAGGTCACTAGTAGCTCGTTTTGAAAAAAGGCAACATTGAAATCTACCCTTACAATAATGATAAGGCTATCCCATATAAATGTTATTCCAAGTGCATCCAAACTAACTGCGTCAAGACCTAATTACTAACCTTTTTTTATGATTAGGTGTCAGTCAAAATACAATTGTACTTCAAATAGCTACAAAAATACATTTTTCAGCGGAGATGATATGAGAACAGAACTCACAAGTGATCCAGGGCTCCAATACTGTAGGGTAATGGTGACTCTCTTGATATGAGTCAAGAATTATAGCAAACCAATAGATTAAAGACAAAACCAAATGTCCATTATCTTTAAAAACCTGAAAAAATGCATTGAAATAAGGGTGGGTCGATTCTTTCCCAAATTTCCAAATTTAATTATGTATAATTATATTTTATAATGAAAATTTTAAAAATATCTTAGTATAAAGTCAATTCTTTGATTATGCTCTGTCACATACTGATACAATACCCTTTAAAATACTATTAATGATTAAAACCATTAATGGCTCGTGGGTCGTCTTTCCCTTGACAACACCCCAGAACAATTTAATGGCACTTGGTCTAAGATGAATATTATTGCTTTTATTTGGTGGATAATTCATGTTAGTTTATAAACATTTTGTACAAATTACTTAAGACTTAAGAGCCCTGGATAACAATCCTGTTGCTATTCCCAGAGCTCAGCAGTTCTACAGCTGATAAAGTGAAAGGTCAGGCGTCCAGATGTTTGTTGAGTCTGCGAATCTTTTCTTTCTTGTTTCTATTGCCGTGTTTCTTCCAGGGTTTCCCCACTGTACTGTCAGCAGATCCCGGCACAGCCGAGATGTTCCCAGGTTTGTAGCCCATCACCGTCTGGACACCTTTCGTTAGTGCACGCACGTTCTCCTGCAAGACGTCACAAACCTCTCTCAATTTCAAGTCGATGCACTGCAATATCCAGAAGATGTTTTCAGAAGTACAAAGCTTTTTTTTTCCCCCCCTAAGTGGTTCTTCAGTGAAATAAAGACCCAAAGAGAAAAGCAAAAAGTTTGCAAGTGTGCAATTGAAAATAAAAGATGCTTCTTCAGTCCAATCGCTGCCAGTGCAGACTGGAAGATTAAACCCAGGAGCTGGGACCCAGGAGCTGCTACCAATCGAATAAGAAGGAACTGCAGAACAGGCTCCTCTCATTTATAACAGATATATTTGTGGTTTTCATTTTATTATATACCTCCAAATTTGAAATCACTACAATTGTTGTTTTCAAGTTTCAGCTCACTGCAGAGGACCTGCAGGAGTGAACCTTTGATAAGTCAGAGCCTTTAACTCAGTCTTCTTTTGGCACAGTGACTCAAAGGGCAGCTAGGACTGCCAAAGGAACGCTGATGTTACTGTAAGACTGAAAGTTACTGGAGTTGCTATGTCACCCTGCCAACATTACCCACCCTATTCCAGCTGTGCTGTGCCAATCGCCCACTGCCAACTGTACAATACCGGTCACAGTCGGGCAGTGGCATGACCCAGACTTGAACAGGTGACACCTGGGCCGAGAGCACCACCCACTGAGAGCCTCCGGCAAACGTTTCCAATGTTCGTAAAGACAGGAACATGATGAACAAACAACAAGACCTCACCTGATGGAAGAAGTTTTTATCCACCACGTTTTCAATTCGCTTGATTTTCTGCCGTCTGTTTCCTGTCCTTGATGAGCTCTGACTGTTGTCTGCTTCCTGCTTTTGAAACTTGTTGTGTTGAGGCTGAAAGTCCCTGGCATCAATGTGGGGAGGAGGATGACAATACAAAAGCTTCCCCTGATAATTACAAAGAAAACATGTTCATGTGGCAGCTGAAGAGAAAATATTGCCTTCTGGTGCTAAAGCTTCTTTTATAGCATTACACTTCAACAGGATTTCTGCTGCTCAGAATGCATACAACCTACACAAATACATGCATAAAGAGTAAAACTTGTGTCCTACAAGACAAGGGTAACTTACATTGACGTAATCCTTTAGGATGTATCGAGCTGACCGGGGCTGGTCTGGCTGTCCATGAGCAGTCATAAACCCCCTCATATCTGACAAGGCACAAAAGGGAAAATAAATATTAATTGTAAGAGACACTATTAGTATTTGTAACTTTTCTCCTTAAAATATTTTAAATACTAGAGTCTTTGTGCTCATTTAAACTAAAGAAACACAAAGTAATCTTTAAGTCTTTCAAAGTAACACATTTTAAGGCACAGTGTCCATTTTATTACCTAGAAACATTATGCACCGAAAAATATCGACCAATATTTCTTGTCAATCAAGACAAAGCAACCATGAAAGACAAGGTCAACTTGATTAAAGCCATTTTGGAGTGAAAAACCTTGATAAAGCACTCAGTTTACAGCATTTCCAGCCTACAAAATACAACAGAATCGGGATTTTACAGCCATAAGCCACCAGCAGCTCCTCAGCCGTGGGTGGGCGGTCTGGGTCTTCCCCCTCTTGAGGGAGGGTGATGTTGATCCCATAGGTGGCCTCCAGGACGTAGCGTGGTACATGCTGACACACTTGTAACAGTTAAGGTCCTTCAGCAGACACACTGCCCCTGTCAGACTGATTCCTGACTTTGAGAACACAGGAACAACACCTCCTGGAAGAGCACACTTATCAAGGAGTGCGAGGGCAAACTGAAGCCGACTTGGTAACATCTTTTAAAACAACACTAGCAGCGCTATATTAAATGCAATTATGATGCAGATTTTAAAAATTTAGTGCTGCAAGTTTTTTTTTTTTTTGGCATGTTGTGTTTACATACAGGAATGAAGAAGTGCAGGCAGACTCCCCAACCCAAGCACACATAGAAAGCTAACTGACTTTTGACATGCTTCAGGCAACATGTGGGATGTTTGCTCTTTCATGTCATCACCACAAGCCCGCAGGCACCCAGGAAGTAGCAGGGGTTTCCCTTTCACCTGCAGCCATGAAAGCCCTAGCAGCCCACATGCCGCTACCTGGGGAGTCCCAGACACAGTCGGCAAGAGACGTGACCCAGGCTCGAACCCGCAATGTTTTATTTCTAAAGCGTATCCTACGTTTGCCCGAATGCCACAGTAAAATGGGGACCCGGAAAAGCTATCGCTGCAAGAAATTCCGTTCCGAGAGTTTTGTCACAAAGTTAACATTATCTCCGCCACGGCAGTATTACTGCACTGTACTGCAGTGCTTCACTCAGAAAGGATATCAAAGAGATGGGTGGCACGTGGTCTCTCATCTGGTCAATGGGCAGGATCCCAGCACATATCATCTCAGCTTTGGTGGACACAAAAGAAGGCATGACCAGCCCAGGGCAGTCACATAGACACAGGCCAGGCTCCACAAAGAGAGTCTGGAACAGAAGAGCAATCACTGCCTCATCAGCGGTAGCCTTTACCTCATTATATGTTTCCATATGTATTATTAAACCCAAGTTAATCGTCATTAATAAACATTTGTAATAATAAAGCTAAATAGAATAATCAATAATGCAAGAAAATGGCACAAAAGAGGGCTGATATTCATATTGAACGCATAATGAAAGTGTTTAATCTTCCAGATAAAACCCTTAAACAACTTAAACACAGTAATTACCTGAAAGTGCTTTGTATGTCCAGGAGTGGCCGAAACAGAAACTTTCTTATTTCGGAGAATGGTGTTGATAGTTGAACTCTTCCCAACATTAGGATACCCCACCTTTTTCACAGAAAAGAACAGAGAACAGGCCTAGAAATCTTTTGCCAAAACCAGAGGAGCACTGACTATGGGCTGTTTTCATAGATAAGCATGCTCAATGCGTCATCTCAGACTATTTATTACTGACTGTCACTGCAAGTACAGGCAACAGTCTGGCAAATGTTTTATTGAAGGAAACAGAATATTTAGGAAGGCTTTTTGTAACCATCATATTTTTTTTGTACAAATGTAACTGCAGTTTTCCAAGAAACACTTACCAAACCCACAGTAATCTGTCCCTCCTTGATGCTGGTCCCAGTGTGTGTTGATTTACAGATGTCCAGCAGCTGGTCTCTGCGCAGCAGACGGCTGGAGTTCTGGATTGCTTTCCTTTGAGAAGCTTCGGTGTGGAAGGACACAGTCTCACTGTCCTGCTCAGGGGAGTCGGAGTCTTCGGAGCAGGTCTGCCAGTCTCCTTCCTCCACACAGTCCTCAAATGTCTCCCCATCCTCCTCTTCCTCCGCTTCATCCTCACCCACCTCTCCTCCCTCGCCGTCACTTGGCTCTTCCTCGAGCCCATCAAGCTCCTCACCCTACAGGAAATATCAAGCACGCTGTACACAAGTCCTTCGTACCTGAGCTGTCCGTTGTCAGTTGATTTGGAATGCACATGAATCTAGATTGATAGCTCACTGGGTGTGCATAATATTCTAACATATAAAATAAAAACCTCTCAGATGTACTTTGGCTTTTCAGAGTAAAACTAACAGCAAAGAATTTCTAACCTTATTTTAATTAGAGCAATATTAAGCACTGTGGCTTAGCGTACTTTAATGATTTCCCAGTTTGGTTCCCCCTGTAAATGGGATTTGGGCATGGTGGAACCAAAACAATTTTTTTATCACCTGCCATAAATCTCAACAGGACTTAAAAACAATTACTAAACAGTCGCCATTGTTGGCAGTCTCGGAAATTAAAGAAAGGGTATATTTTAGCAAGTTACTTGCTTCATTATAATTGTAGCAAGATCTTTCCTAAAAGAGGAAGACTCCTCGTATTGAAAGTTCCCTCTCTCTCAACCGTTCTGCAAATTCCTCCTCTGTGGGTAAAAGGCCTAAGAAACACGCCAAGCCGCTGTGAGCCTGGTACCTTCTCTTCGGCATCTAGCCGGGCCCCCTCAGCCAGGGCGGACCAGAATACGGCCCTGATTCCCTGTCTCTCGAAGTATCTGGCCCAGGCGCTGCGCTGCTCTCGAGTCAGCAGGTCCGCCTTGTTAATCAGCAGCATGTTCTCCTTCTCCCCTGACACCTCCTTCACATAGCTTTCCTGCAAGGGCGGAGTGACATTGAAGCGCCTGCCTGCTCACCGTGTCAGGGACACAGTGGCTGGAGCCTTTAACAGGAGATAACGACTACACACAAACAGTGTTTACAAAGCAATCCGTGTCGGTCTTTGTGCTTGACAGCGCATAAAGAGGTCAGCTCTAAGCAACATCAACAATCAATCAACAAAAGAAAAAGAAGGTTAGACTGGCAGCAATCTTTCAAAACAAGTTGGATGCTTGTAAAACATATTATGAAAAGATTACAAATGATAAATATTAAAAAGAACAGCTGTATCTAGTACATTTAGTTCACTGTATTCTAATGTCACAGCTTTTCAGAGAAGAGTTGGTTATGCGAGTCTAATCATTGAATTGTTGTACATTATGAAAACATAAGATACGATACTACAATTTATCACGATTTCTATTCATGATTTTGATCTGTAGGGAACATGAAATCATTCAACATTTCTGTGAACTCACCAGATCAAGGCATCGGAATAGCAAAGGGTTTCGGGCATCAACAATCTGAACCACAACATCACTGGAAAACAAAGCCACGTGCCGATCGGTAAAAACATCAAAACACAGAGCTCGGAAAACCACAAAAAAAATACAAAAAACACATTTGCTTTGTGAAACACATCTTCAAAAAAGAAAAATGTACATAAAAGGGTTGATCGATATGCAAAATAAATCCAAGATCCAAAATACATACTTATCGTGTTATCATGTTTCCTAGTCCCTCACCAAACCCACCTGCTTCCAAAAGAATTATCCTAAATGTTACACCCCTTTACCCCTAGACACTTGGGGTCGTAACACATACAGTACACATAATGTAGAGCATTTTTAAGACTGAGACATGTTTTTAATTATTTCCAGACAGTTTTCTGTTGAAAATTAGGTATTAATAAATACCTCAAACATTAACTGGCAATGCTTTATTACATAGGAAAAGCATAGTACACTTTCTTTTATTTTACAGGTAAGACTCAGGTGGTCCACTAATACTCCAGAGCCATACAGATGAAAGGGCAAACATACACCAGGTGAGACTAACTGTACCTTCTCTCTATCACTCTCCATAGCTGGCGCCAGAAGTCCAGATTCCGCTCAAAAGGAGTAAGAATCAATTTCTGCTCCTCTTCTAGCCTTAAAATAAGTAGCCAATAAAAGAAAATGTTAGCGTTCTGTAATACTGGGTTAAAGATATTTCATGGTATTGACAGAAACGAAACAACATGTTCAAACTAATCATCAAAGCCCAACAGGCAAATACAATGAAGTGATCCATTCCTCCCTCTAATCAACAAAAAGTGGTCATTCTGAAACCTAAAAATAAAACTAGCAGGACAAATTCTCTACTCATAATTTCTTATGCACTCTTTTTTTGAATTGTGAAACTTGAAAAAAAAAACCTTTGAAAGAAACAAAAGAAGAATCCTTTAACAAAAGGTAAAATGATATATGTGTGTTACAGTGACATGAACCATCATCAAATACAATGTTCCAAAAATGGACTCAGTAGACTTGAAGCAATTGCCTTATGAAAGACAAAGTTAACAGCACTAAGCAAGAATGCTGGAACCACTGAACATTAAACAGTATTAGACAAGATTCACGGATGTGTGGAGGTGCTCACTGGGCCAGCTGTCGCCTCCACTCTAGAAAGTTGTTTCTCTCTGCCTGCTGCAGAGCCTCTGCAGTCGTATTCTCATCCCAGTGTGGTCTGAAACAGGAAGGAAACAACCGGTTAGTACTAGAAGATCTCAGTGTCAAGCTAAATAAAAACAGTGTTATTTTTAGTATTTCTATCATTATGACAAGAAACGCATGCTTATAACCAGTTTACCAGTGGAGAATAACATAGTTCAATATGAAGGTTTTCTTTGGCCATGCTCACATGTATGAGTCGGAGATCTGACAGTGGGCAAAACAACAGACACCTGTATCACTTTTGGTCTAAATGCAGGACAATGAATTAATTCACTAGATGAGGTGAAAAAAAAGACTTCCCAAAGTCCATAAAAACTATATATTTGTAAAGACAATGAATGCTTTAGAGTCATTCGTGTCAGGCAACTGGTGTGGCTGACTTACCTGCGAGGTATTCTGAGAAACTGCTTGTTCTCTTCATGAAGCTTTTTAATCCTCTTGCTCTCTTCTGGTGTCAGTAAACCTGTTCTGGCTTCAGCAGGAACAAACTTGATGTTGAGCTTTTCTGAAAAGCCAAGATACAGCAATTATGTCAGAAGGCAAACAACACACTCTTATAGTCTGCCAATAAAATCACTGTCCATTACTCTGAGCTCACCAAACTATAATAGGCTACAATTTTGGGAGTACACTCCAGCTTGCTCACACTTTCAAAAGTGACGTGACACGTTAATAAGAGTTGTTAAAAGGCAGCTTAAACCAACTAGGGAACAAGTAGTAGTAGTAATAATAATAATAATAATAATAATAATAATAATAATAATCTTTATTTTATATAGCGCCTTTAAAGGTGGCTTCTCAAAGCGCTTTACAGGATGACAATAACAATAAATAAGAAGACTACAACAATAAATAAGAAGATTTCACAAGACACAATTATAATTACAACAATACAACAATAACAATAGAGGAGACCGTGGAAGGTGGTATTAAGAAGAGCAGAGGGGTGAAGAGTGGGACAAGTTAAGTAAAGGCTTTTCTGAAGAAGAAGGTTTTGAGTCTGGATTTAAAGGAGTTTAGAGAAGGTGACTCTCTGATATCCTTGGGCAAAGTTCCAGAGCTTGGGGGCATAGCAGGAGAAGGCCCTGTCCCCCATACAATGTAGACGGGCTTGGGGGACAGTAAGGAGGGCAGAATTAGAAGAGCGGAGGTTGCAAGGTGGGGAGTAGGGCGATAAAAGTTCAGACAGGTATTGAGGTGCCAAGCCATGTAAAGCATTATAGGTGAGCATGAGGATTTTCAAGTCTACACGGAATTTGACCGGAAGCCAGTGCAAGGACTCCAGGATAGGAGTAATGTGAACACTTGCACTAGACCTGGTCAGGATTCTGGCTGCTGAATTTTGGACATACTACAGCTTGTTCAGAGTAGATTTAGATACCCCAGGGAGTAGAGCATTGCAGTAGTCAATTCGAGAGAATACAAATATGCTGATCAGCTTGTCAGCCACAGTTAATGATAGCATAGGGCGGAGTCTTGCGATATTTCTAAGGTGAAAAAAAGATGTTTTGACAGTATGCTGTACATGTGGGTCGTATGTTAAGCCAGAATCGAATATAACCCCAAGGTTTTTCAATTTTGATTGAAGCTCTAGTACAGAGCCATCTACAGACAGGGTTACAGGACTGGCTTTACGAAGTTGATGGGGGGTACCAATAAGCATGACTTCGGTCTTGTCACAGTTAAGATGAAGGAAGTTTTGAGTCATCCAAATTTTTATGTCAGAGATGCAATTAGATAGACTAGAGACAACCACATCGGGTTTGGTATGGATGTATACCAGCTGAGGCCATGTGATCTTAAAAGCTGACCAAGTGGGAACATGTAAATGGTGAAGAGCAAGGGGCCCAGTATTGAGCCCTGGGGGACACCAGACTTGACAAGACCAATTTCAGACCTGTACCCATTGAGAGAGACAAAGTGACAGTGACAGAAAGAAAACACAACATTTTGGCTGTGGAGCCTTCTTTGGCTCACACCTGAAGAAGGCTCCACGGCCAAAACGTTGTGTTTTCCTTCTTCTCTTTTCAGCATGGAATAAACCTATTACTTGTTCCTTTGCAGCCTACACATGCTGACGCAGCTACCCACCTGAACTACTTAAACCAACTAAGTTCACTATGATTTTAGGATTTGAAATAATCAAACCATGTTTTGTGTCCCCCTAGAAAATATTGACCGCTCTTTACCTGCAACAAACTCTGTTCCGGCTAGCTCAGCTGTAGCTAAGAATTCATCCAGAGAGCTCTGCTCTGTGACTGACTGCAGGTTCAGACGGCCCCAGTCGTACCCATCATTCAGTTCACTGGTGTGGAGCTGTAAAGGAAACAATATGATCTTGTTACGTTAACACAAACAGCACTTCTTCCATCATGCACTGCATAGTTACCGCAGATCCTCGCTACTCGCACTGCTCAGACAAATCTGACTGTTTTATTAAACCAAGAAGCACATTAAAAGGAGGAAAAATGTACAACTGGGCTGTACTGTACGTCCTCCTTTCTTGAAGTTGAAATCAAAGTTGAGTCACAGAGTGGGGCCTTTTGTTGACATTTTTTGACATCAAGAACATCGAATTATTTTAAAATATCTAGTGCACATACATTTCCAAATGCAATTTCCAGACTCCAAGAATCCCTAAGATACCTTTCAGTTTCTTCTAATTGAAATGATTTGTTTTCTCTGGACATTTTTACCCGAAGCATCCCAGTCATACAGCTCGATACTTTACGATGTGTGTGAAGTACCTTTGCGCAGGAACACACCTGCAGTGTCTCCCCTTTGATTTTAACCCACAGTCTCCCAGTTACAACTGCAGAATCCTAAACCACCTCACACAGCTGTTTTAGGGAAGAAAATCTCCACCATCGCCATCTCCGTCTTTTTGTTTTTCAAGTGTCACCCTGCTAGTCACTTTAAATGCAGAACCCAACACCATTTCCAGAAAACAATTAACAAAAATCATTCTAAAATGCTATTGTACACATAGAAAACTAAAATTATATGAACCATTAGAAGCAGTACTTGTATTTTTTTCCCTGACTGTTATACTCGTCAAGGACTTTTAATCACTTCGAGTTATTAAATAAATGTGAAGTACCCAGGAATCTGCTCTGTTGCCCCGACCTGCCAGTTGCCTCTCCTTTATTAAAGCCCTGCCTAATCCAGCGCCTCCGCCGCCAGTTTTCTTCTTTCCCATTTTCGCGAGTTCACATTAACTTTTTTAAAAAACAACAACTTTCTGAATACGATCCAGTCCGGAGTTCTTCAAGCACAGCAGCAACAGCACCTTCCAAACTGACCATGTGAGCACTGTTGTCATCAGGAAGGAAACGGCTTGGAACAATCTACTTTCTCGAACAATAATGTACACTTAGAACTTTATGGGGGAAAAAACAAATGAAAGAAAACATAAAAAATTATCACCTAAAAATCGCATTTTTAAAGACCATTTGGATTATCAGAACGTATAATATATGCAAAATATATTTAAAATTTAAACAAATGTAGCCTTCTGAGTGTATTGGTACATTCCAGATAGCCTACACATAAACGCTCGTGTAAAACAGCGACAGCGAGTGATAGTTCCCAAATCACGTTATAATGCTCATACAGTAGTTGTGACATACTGGAATTTTAGTCGTACAATTATCCAGGCTGTAAGTTATCTTTCTCGTTAAAGCGAAAATCTTTTGCTCATCATGCTACGAAGCAACGATTCTGTTATTTCAAGAAGAGCACTTGTTTTCAAAGGAACAATTCTCTATTTTAGTAATAAACATTTAAAACAGAACGGGGAAAACTCAAATTTGTGATACGTCGTGGGTCAGTTAAGCCATGAATAAAATTTATTTTAGCAATTTATTTGATTGTTTTTTTTTCATTATAAATTTTGTTTTTTTTTTAATTTCAATTTAGATTTCTTAAAGAAACAGACAATTGTAATTATATTCTTCCCAAACCAGGCTTCTCAGTGTTAATTCCCCAAGAGATGTTATCTTCACAGACTTTACAGAAATTATATCTTCACAGAAAAACTCTAAAAATGGGCTATGAGGATAACAGAAACCGTATTCAGCTGTAATTTTGCGGATATGGACTCACATAAGCAGATATTTACGGTACAATAAAGAATGCAACAGAATAATAAAACACGATATATAAAAGTTGGTTCTCAATTTCAACAATAGTATTAAAATTTGCTGTGCCTAGCCTTTATAGATGAGAAAAGGTAGACCTCAATTTCAACCCATTGCTTGTAGTGATTAATATTTTAAAAGCAAAACAATTTTTGTGGCATAATTTATGATGGCTGGCACCATGGGCTCTTGGGTTCTGAAGTTCTCCCTGTTATTTTGTAGATTTTGGCAAATTGCTCTCACTAGTTTCATCCCACAGTTCAAAAACATGTTGTCTAGGTTAACCGGCATGACTAAATTTTTCCATGTGCGTTTGTTTGTTGTGCACCCTGTGATGGACTAACATACTGTGCCCATTGCCTGCTGAATTAGGCTCCTGGCGCACCACAATCCTGTATAGGATTTACTGATTACTGAAAATGTATGCTAGGATGTATAAATAGACAGTTACTATTTTCAACTTCTTGGATCAAACAATTAAAAGGTAGTTGGCCTTACGTTACTGTGCAATCCAGTATAACAGTCTACACCATTTCTTGGGGGAGCTCTGTGTAAATACCGAAGAAAATACCAGTTGTACAAGATTACAAAGATAACTCAAGTGAATTAAAAATTAGATCACAAAGTTGTGAAAGGTAAAGCACAGGTAATAGCAAACACAAGGCTAAATAATTTCAGATACTTTCCCTGATCTCTTTAGTTTCACTCTGCTCTATATGAACATTTTTGCTACCGCCACCATACTCAAGATGCTTCAAAAAGTAAATAAAGAGTTTTATGCCTGGGATTGTCTTGTTCGAAAATAACCGAGCTGTAATGAAGTACATTTGATAGCCAAAACCTTATCATGCTTTTAAAAAACAAAATTGTTGTGTGGACTCTCTGTCTATAAAAATGTTAGATCCAAGTTAAAGTTCTAAAAGAAAAATTCAAAGATATGGTACTATCCTCTACCATCCAAAATAGTAAAACCTACTCTTTGCTCCATTTTCTGGTGTGGCATTTTCTTTAAGACCGAAAAAAGCTAGGATGCACACATACTTTGTGTGTATGTTTTACAAGTAGCTCTCTTGCAATCCCTTACAATACAGGACAGATTGCAAATGACATTTTATTTAGTATCATTTGAGTTTACAGAATAACTGCAGCAAAGAAATATGTGAGATTCCCGTTAATTTCATTGTGCATTTGTAAGAGCCTGACACTTTATTTGAAACTTGTGATCCTACACACCTGCTAAAGATAAACCTTTTATTGAAAGGACAAACCTACTCCCGGAAAAGGCACTGCAAAACAAAACTACTCATTTCTGAAACTGACATTGGCAGATGAATGTCACACATTTCACAGATCATGCAGATAGTTTATTTTGCAGCCAGTCCTGTGTAAAATCTAGACAAAAAGGTAATGCCTACATCCGATATTTGTCAGTGTGTCAGTTTAAAATATATCACACTCCCTCCCCCACTTTCCATATCAGTCACTTCTAGAGGCCGGCTCGGAAACAATTTTTAGTAAACAAGTCTGCGCGGTAGAGGAAGGATGCACCTTAATGGAAAAAAAGAAAAGAAAAAACATTTTCCTGTGTTTGTGGCCTACTTAATGAGAAATGGTGAGGAATCCCATAACAGCACCAGAATAAAAGGGTTCAGATTTTTTTGTCTAAGCCAGGTCACACCATTTGTGTGATTTTAACACTGAATAAGCAAGGGTTGGGTGGTTCAAATATTATACAAATATTAAGTCACAAATAAGGTTGGACCTGATTAATATTTTATTTGCTTAGGCTGTAAGGATGGAATCAGACCTTGAGGGCAAGCCAATCACTAACATCTCTGCTGGTTATTATTACAATGTATTTTTATAAGGAAATGAGTATCACAAGCAGCAGTTTGTCTAATTTCCCCTTCTGTTTTGTGATTCCCCATCCACTGATATGCATCAGTGCTAGTACACTGTTCGTCATCTGCATATCCTTTTCAAATCCATAAATGCTCTTCCAGAAATCAATGTGTCTGCCAGTGAATCTATGACAAGCACTTGTCAAACGCATTCATCATGGTACATTTACTGTATGGGGCTTCTCTGTGAACTGTAAAAAATACCTGTGTGCCACTGCAATGCCAGAATTTCAGATTCGACAAGTGAAACATTTAAAAATATCCTATTTAGCGTACAATGCATAATGTCATGTTTGCAATAGGTGTATGTATTTTGAATGCACCTATCTGTAATAACACTTATTGTCAATATTTAGAGTGAATCATTTAAAAAACTAAACAATGTGTCTTGAAGGTTGAAGACAACAGCCTGCAGCCCAGGTCATTCTCTAGTTTAAGTCTTCTACAATTAGATTAAATCTTCTTATGCCACGGGTGAGCTCCCTGAGTTGCCCCGAGCAGAAATCGCAAGGTCCCTTGTTATGTCACACGTGTGTTTCCTATGAAAATGATACGGCTGCCTATCTGGGCTGTTACTTTCAGACTGCAGTTCTTGCGATGCCAGTTGTTAAGAAATTTGATCTCTTTCCCTAGTGCTTGCTGAAGATTAAAGCAGAGAACAATAGTGGCAGGTATCTCCCAAACATGCAGAGGTACAGTGTAAAGGAACAAGTAATAGGTTTATTCCATGCTGAAAAAAAGAAGAAAGAGAACACAACGTTTCGGCCGTGGAGCCTTCTTCAGGTGTGAGAGAGACAGGGCAGTAGCAAAGGTAAAGTAGCGGGAAAACAAAGGCTGGGAGGGAGGAGGAGTGAGAGGCGGGAGCAGGGGACAGAAAGAGAGGCCAATCAAGAGGTGTGAAGTCAGAATGGGTGCAGAGAGGTGTGAAATGAAACTTCCAATGAATGGAGAAAATTTTAAAGAACAGTAATCTGTCATTAAGGGAAGGGAGAATGTGTGATCCCAGCTGCAGAATTATTTTAGTTTCGGTGGTCTTTCTGATGTATGAGAATCAGAAGGTACAGTGTAGTTCGTTTGTACCTGGGGCCCTCTAAAACATAAGTCAAAATGCTATTTTGAGTTGAAAGGAAATACTGTACTTGTCAGAGATTTATTAAATTATTAGATTATGTTAAGCATGTAACAAATATGCATGCTTATGCATGTTTACTCATGTGTTAACTGCCCTGATGTGGTCATCAGAATTTAAAAGCTTTCTTGGTCAGCGTCTACACGGGAAGTTGATTTCTGGTGTAAAACATGTTTCCCATTCTTGATCTCCGTAATTTATTTTTTAGTTATGTGTGAGTGAATCTTTTTTGTAAAATCAGAAATGGAGACAGATCCATTAGAAATGTTGGTCCTCGGATCAGGGCTAAAGAAGGCCATAGTGCAATTTGACCATGTGAGCCAAATAACACATTAAAGGAATCCGAGACGTTTACAGTTTGCATTTTAAAAGCTTTCGAAGTGTGCGTTGTTGTTTTAAATAAATGTTATGATATAGTTCATTTTTTCCTAAATCAATGGGTTTTTGTGTGACACCGGTTTAAAGTCATTAAGCTAACCCTAACTTGCATTCAGCTTTTCTTGCAATAGTCTTCCAACAGATGGCGGTATTAAACAATTTTGCAAAAATATTCGATATCGTGTGTAAAGGATTTAAAGTAATACAATCGTTGGTAAAAAGAAACAGTTTACGACTATGTGATGTTTTTTTTTAAATCAACTCACTACCCCCAAACTATATTTAATACAAACACTCAATCTCACACATTTTAACATATTATAATGCAGACTGGCATGTTTTGTCCTATATTATGTGCTATAGTTTTATTACTTTTAATTCTGTTTGTGTGGAAATATACAATATTTCGTAATCCGTTAATTGATTTGTTATGCCTATTTTTATCTGACGTTTTAAGAAATTAGGTTATTGCACATAATTGTCTAATTTCTCTACGTTTTTCCTTACATGAAAACAAATCGAAATGCCATAGAACATAAAATTAATGCTTTGTTTGAAAAACTGCCGTATGATCCATGTTAACAAGAACACCGTTGTTAGTCAAATACAGCTACCCCTTTAAGAAAAAGTGCTTCAGTTCTCTGGGTTTATCCGTCCTTCGTCTCCCCTGCACTTTTAAGAAAAATGGTTCAATCCAGTGTATATTTACAGCTGATCTCATTCTGATTAGCATGAACGTACACAGATAACTCAGAGAGGGGCAGAAGAGTGAGAGAGGAGCAATTATTTGCGATCTTTCTGAACAACACGGATGAAAAATTAGCTTTTGCCACGGCACTAACTCATAAGTAAATGACACAAGACAGGATAACGATAAATCTTAGGTGCATTAAACGAGTTTACAGTTGTCTTTGTAGCGGTTTACGAGATTCAGCCATATAATGCTGCCTTGGAAGAAGAACAAATTCGACCTGATTGAGGAAGATAAGCAGTCGAAGCAAAAGGGCTATGCCGTGAGTCTGAACTATTCTGCTCTTACGTCCTTCGCCAAATCCTGCCCGGAGAGTGCACTGAACAGAGTTGGGAGCATGTTCAAATCAAAGAGGAAAAAAGTTAAAATTACTAGCGAGGACCCCACTTACACTGTGCTTTATTTGGGGAACGCCACCACCATACAGTCGAAAGGAGATGGGTGCACAGATGTGGCAGTCGGCAAGATCTGGACCAAAAGCGAGATGGGCAAAAACGGTACCAAGATGAAGCTCACCATCAGCTCGCAAGGCATCCGAATGGTGCATGTGGACGACAAGGCAAGGAGACCGGGACACTTGTATTTGCTGCACCGGATAACCTACTGTGTGGCCGACCCTAGGCTACCCAAGATTTTCGCTTGGATCTATAGGCACGAAATGAAACACAAAGCGGTGATGCTCAGGTGCCACGCAGTGCTGGTCTCCAAGCCCGAAAAGGCGAAAGCGATGGCGCTTTTGCTGTACCAGACCTCGGCGACAGCGCTGGCCGAGTTCAAAAGGCTGAAGCGACGGGACGATGCGCGACACCAGCAGCAGCAGCTCATAGGCGAGCAAACGATTCCTTTGGTGCCTCTGAGAAAGCTCTTGAACGGACAGTGTTATTACAAGCCCCCGGTGGAGCGCAGTCGGAGCGCACCGAAGCTGGGGTCCATCACGGAGGACCTGTTGGGGGAGGAAGAAGAGGAGAAAGCCATGCACTTCGAGTGCGAGGACATTCTCGACACGGACGACGATTGCTTGGGCAGCGGCAAACAAGAACTTTCCCAAATTATCAACGACCTTGGGGAAATGTGCATCGGAAACGATGTTCAGACCCTGAAAGCCGACCTGCGGGTGACTAGGTTGCTCTCCGGCGAAAGCACGGGGAGCGAGTCTTCGATAGAAAGTAACCAAGAACCCAACTCTATTTCCAACGGCTTCGAGGAAGTCAAAGCGCAGGAGATTGGGTGACTGACTCTTATTCCTTTTCCTAACTAACAGAAGTGTCTCCACTACAGACCATTATATTTTATTTTGCTTCTGTGCTGTCCTTCAAACAGGGGTATACCTGTAGCATTGTGCCTCTTCATCCAGTCGACTTGAAAGGATAGTTGAAAGAAAAAACGAAAGGTATGTGTAATGATTTGCACGAAACACTACAGCAATGCGTGAGACCGATTAAAAGAAATCGGTATGGTATGGGCTCGTAAGAGACTTTAGAAGCTTAAACCTTACAGATGACACGAAGCGCGGACCCATGTTGTTCTGGGTAATTTTGTAAACATTACTCCGGTCTCTGTTCGCTGCAAGATGGATTGTATTTGATCTGTATCTGTTTACCTAGACCTGTTTCCCTTGAACAAATGCCAAATTCCTTAAATAACTGTCTTGAAAAAAAAACTCGCAGTTACTAAATATAATTCTTTACTGATCCTTTAATGGGGAAGTTAACTACTACGTTCACCATTCAGGACATTCCGTTTGTATTTTTTTTTTTGTTGCACTGTTGGTGGAATTCTTGAGTGTTAGTATATGTACATTGTGTTGTCCTCCTCATAAATGGTCTTATAAACATGTTATATCTTTGCTGTGCAAAAGGAAAAATACCCTAAAGTATTAAGTTGTACATAGTAAATTCATAGTGTATAAAATATTTGTTATTTTTTAAAGAGGAAAACGTGTTATGTTTTCTGTTAACCTCACCAAAATAAAAATAAAGCTTACAGATGTGGCACACACCTTGTGAAAATGCACAAAATGTTATTTGAAGTAGTCGCCTTGTGTTCCTGGAGTGTGTTACTTTTCACAGCTTGTACACCAAAAATAGTTTTAAACATTAAATTCATGGGAAAAAAATGTAAACGATTTATACAGTTTCAGAAAAAGTGCAATCAAACAGATGCGTATTTGAGAGAAGGAATGAATTCTAACAATGTTCATATATTAAGCTGTTTTTAAAACAAAAGTAATAAATGGTACTGTCAATGTAAAACAAACATTTCATACACTAGTTACAGTTTCATGTACACGTCCTAATGAATTATTGAGTTGTTTGCACTCAGAATACCCCCCCTCCCCTTGCAGCTTAAAGCACATGAAGGGGTAATACAGCCACATCAGAAATTAGAATGATTGTCAGGAATTGCTTGCAAGTTCTGCTGCCATACAATTTTTACATAGATTTGATTGGCTTGATTTCTTCTTAAATCCTAGCTGTCTGGTCCCTTAAAAGCACAAATATGTACTTTGGGTCTAAAGGTGACTTAGTATTATACAGCAAGCTCTTTTTCTTTCACTACATACTGTAAACCCACTGTATGTGCACTGTCCTTTAAGCTAATGACAGAGACCCAATAACATGTTTACAGATTGCACAGGCATTTCAAACGTGACTTGTACAAGAATTGTACAATACTGTACTGACCTTTTATATTCTGCGTTTTTTCTACAAAACCCTTTTCGATAAGTGATTTAAAAAAAATTTAACTGATAGAAAAAGACTGCTCCTTCCTCCTAATCTTTTCGAAGCCAAACATCGCCAATGACAACATTTTCTGAACGTTTGGTGTATAATGACAAAGACCATCAGGAGGGGTTATCCTGTGTTGAACTGTAGTTTGTGTGTTTGCTGCCTGCTAAATAACCCCATGGTGATTGGTTCTAAGTGCTGTTTAGTGTTTTCATTAAGCGTAAATAGCATGCTCTTGCAGTACATTTTCCATGGCTTTGCCATGTGGGAAATAAATAAAACACACTGGACATTTAGATGGATAGATAATACTTTATTAATCCTGCAGGGAAATTGACGAAAATAAAAAAGTTTGCTTGTTTGACCAATTATAGAGGTAAGGGAGAAAATGTGCTTTTTGCAGCCAGATCCAAGATAGTAAATAACGACTCGCTGCTGTGAAAGGCAAAGGAAATCTTTCTAAGCCCTTTACACATGGGCACACGTACTGTACTGTCACAATAATGAGCAGCAGTTTTTGGAGGTAGCAGAAATGTGCCATTGAATCCCTTTACAGAGAGGGCACTTGATGATCAGTATAATCGAATGGATTCTGCACAGGGACACACTGAATGGAAAAAGTTCTGGTGGCTCAATACTAGTCCAGTAATGTCCAGGAGCATTAGTGAGTTTGCTTCTGCAGAGAAAAATCAATTTTGGGTGCAGTGTGTGTTACAGTGCCATATATTACTTTACATATTCCTTAACTGAAACTCTCGGTTATTCTTTTACATAGACAAGATCAAGTTTTTTGGGATCCTTTAGAGGCTCTGTTCATGAAACTTATCTTTGGTTACAAAACACAATCTTTGATTTTATCCACACATTTCAGTTTTAATGTGCATCATCTAAGCCAAGAATGGTTGGTGGTAAGAGTCCATAGCCTTTCTTGGACATTAAATATGAATGTTGGGGCAGATTAATTCAGATCTCTTGCACTAACACTTTGTTAATGCACTGAGAATGGCACACAGTCAGAACATGGAATAATATATTATGTTTGTCATGTATTTAACTGACGAAAAGTTTATACCCATCTGAAATGATCAAATATGTATCCCAAGAAAAGTGTATTTTAATACCGCATAAAAGCATGAGAACAGAATACTCACATGTTATTGTATGAAAGATTTCGTTGCTTTCTGATATTATACAATCAGTCTCTGAGTCGTTCAGTTATTTAATTAGTGAGATGAAGGAACTTGGGATATGAACATCATTGTAAGGAGGCACATGGCAAGGACAGCTTCTTACTGTGGTTTGTTGCAGCCCACAACATACAGTATTAATAGGTTTGGTTTTATGTTTCAGTAATACCTTCTAAAACGTAGAAACAAAGATTTTCAGGGCAAATGAAAAATGCACTTGGCGTGTCTCTTTCTAGTTTGATATTGATATCTTTTCATCATCAAATGTACAGTGAAACATACATAATGTATCACAAGTGCAACAGTGCTGCTAGATTCTTTAGACAGAGACGTGTCTAGCTGCACAGCGGAACTCCAGAGCAGGATCTGAAGATTTCTAAGGTGGAAACTAATTGAAAGAGTCTGGGATTGCAAAGGGATTACAAAGTAATGCAGAAAAGGTAGGTCTTTTCAATTTCTTATATAATCCACTTCAGCAAGCTAAGAATTACCTTCATATCACCAGAGTGTTGACTTGAAAGAACTTGAAAATAAATAAGATGCAGAATGCCAACATTTTCTTATACATAATTCAATCCTTCAAGAGCAAGTTAAAAATTAAAAAAAAACTGACAAAAATGATCAGGATCCTTTGGATGCCGTGATTCACAAATTGCTAGCTTTTTTTCCTCAAAGTCAAACACTGATTCCAAGAAGCATTAAAAAAAAGACATCTTAAGACAATACCAAATAAGACAGAAATCTGATCCTTCCTGGCATTTAGCATTTTGTGTGTTGTACAAAAGCTTGATGTTGAATATGAGATATGACAGTCTATGCTGAAGGTTTAGCTTCAGAAGACTGCACATGTATGGTGAATACATATTTCAATTCATTTTATTTTTATATAACGCCTTTCACAGCAAGGTTGCCCCAAGGCGCTTAACAATACAATTGACGATACAGCACATGTTGTGAATACAGAACAGAAAAGACCAGAAGACAATGGAGGAGAGGAACCAAAAACTCCTTAGTAAGGAGAGAAGTAACCTCTAGGGATCCAAGGTCAAATGGTTGCCCAACCCCTTTGGGCATGCTAACATTATATAATTTAAAAAAGGAAACGATCATTCCATCCATCCATCATGTCTTCTGTGTGTTATTACTCCATGCAGATCTCTGCAATATTTGGCTCTATTAATTCAGAGCTCAGGATCTCCTCATCACTGTTGGTACACTCCTGGTTTCTGACAGGCAGATTGGGTTTAATGCTGCCACTGAAAACTTGTATTAAAAACATTGATGCTGCAGTAGAAAATTATTCTATTTTTTGTAATGGTAGAAAGGAAGATTTACTTCACCAGATACACAGACACTCCTACTCCCAGAGAAAAACGTGTATTTCTTTTACTTTGGTGTTAAGCATAGGTGAGTATAGTCACAGAGAAGCTCCTGTCCTGTTTTTTTATCCTACTTGGCATTAGGATGATTTTTTCTCATCTTCATTTTCTAAGTACTAGAGAGAATTCATGTCAGTTTGATGCAAATGTCACCTGTGTAGATTTTTGTCATGAAAAAGTATATTTGGTTTATAAGGATAAAATCTGATGGAAATAGGTACCAAGTGGTGTGTGACCAAGGGTTTTATGAAAGTGCAAGAGGTTGGTCTCTTTGGCACATCACAAAAACATTTAAACAGCATTTCAATAGTTTGGCCAAATCCTAACTCGATATTGCAACGAAATGTATTGAACGTTTATTTGGCTTCACTCGCCTGACTGAGGGGAATGGCAGCGTGCCTGCGAGGACGAGACTGACAAGATCCGCCCCTGCACGAGGAATAAGCAAGGGAGCTGCTACAAGGGTGAAGCTGGGATGGAGGGAGGGTGCTCAGTGGGAGAGAGATTCACATGTAGGAGAGCGGAAGAGGGCGAGATGAGAAATTTGGCCTCTTTCCAGATTTCTGCTTCAAACACCATTAAGACTAATGATTATTTGACTTGCATATCTCAAAGAAAATTAGAGATTTACTTTTAAGTAAGTGGCTGACATTTTGTAATGAAATCACGTTTTGATACCTTAGTTGATGTGTTTTGGGGTTTCCCTTGATTCATTTATGCACTCTTTTTATTAAGCTAAAAAGTTGATCACACTGTACAGAGGAAAACGATTTACCTACCAGACCAGAAAGCTAGAGAACAGTGGAAAACTGGGCTTATGGTTCAAACACAGTAAAGACAGCCAATTAGTTTGAAGAATATCTGGTGTCTCGCATCAGGTTATCGTGTACTGGGCTTTCTTGTGAAACATGACCTACATTTTCTGTCATGCCAATGACCTACATGCAGAATTAACTTGTTGTGGTCAAAGAGAGTTTGTCATGCCTTTTTCCAGCAGAATTAATGTTATCAGTCTAAGGTAAAATCTATATTTGGCCAAAAAATACCCAAGCCATTACATTCACCGTGCGTACTTTACTGATTTAAATCTGTCTTTCTGTAAATTCCTTTTTGAATTGTTTTCACTGTTTAAGTGTGTTTTTCTACCTAACGGCTTAATATCATGTGCCAGGCAAGGTTTTATCATTCAAACAGCGCTTTCCTCTTCATTCCTCCAAAGCCGGAGGAGTGCTGCACATTGCCAGACCTCAGAGGATGGTAAAGAGGATTTGTTCATTTTCTTGTGATAAAAGAGAAATATTCATGCAAGAATGCTAAGATGCCGTGATCCTGCTTTAGATAGAAAGGACAGAGCCTTTGGTAAGAAGAATGGATGGAGCTGTAGAGGAGGAGGTGTGGTTTGCTGATCTGTCATGCAGATTCCAACAAAGTTAGCCGGTTCTTTCTTTTCCCACTTAATAAAGAATAAGTGGAATTGTAATTATTCATACTGATTCAGGTATTCAGAACCCTGTAATGTAAATCAGTGGACATTTCTAAAGATGTCTAAACACCACAACAAGCCAGAGACACACATAGAAATTACATTTTGGAGCAGAAAACAGAGTTTTCTGAGTCTATAAACAACTTTGTAGCCAAATTGTAGAATGTGACTCTATGATATTTTATGAAACAGCTTGATGGAGTTCTTGAATTATTCATCTACTAGCACCTAAAAAAGCAT